ATAAATAGCGTTGTATTTATAAAGTTAAAGCAACGAGATCTCGCTCACCGATTGTACTACGTTCTTGTATCACTTGTAAAATACTTTATTGTTCTACAGTATGTACATCGCGTATTGGTCGTTCGGTTTATACATGAAAATTAGTATTTTATATGTGATGTCTTTAATTTGTCATATTTATAGTGACCTGATTTATTGTTTTTTGGTTAATATAATATTAAAATAGTAAAATTTTATGGATACTAAAAATATGACTTTAAAATATCATATTCTTGTAAGGATTATTTCAAATAACTTTGTGTTATAAATATTAAATCAATCAATAAATTAAAATAATGCGGTGAAAAGGAATCTTGTGCCAATTCGAAACAACCTCATTAAAGCGGAAAACTTAAGATTTTTGGTATGAACAAGCGAGACGAGGAGATAGTAGTTATCCTTTTTTTAATTTATAACAGCGCCTCCCCGTTAGGTTTATCTGTATCTGTGCTCTATGGACATATCTCAGTAACCAACAGATGGTACTAATAGACAATAAAAATACTAGCTTTTATATATTAAAACTATTAATACATAAATTAATTATAGAACTAATAATATATGACTTAATTAATAGTAAATAAACATGTAATGAAAACAAACATACTTATTTAATTAAACAAGTATATAATAAAATGTGATATTTGTAATACAGTTTTAATAAATTAATTGACGTATAAAAATAATTTTATTTAGTTTTAATTTACGTGTGCATCGTACGAGAGCTAATGATGTACTGATTAACAATATTCGGTACAGATAGTGTGTTAGTTGTGGGGGGGCGGGTTGCGATTTTAGATTGCGCCTGCGCCGATTTATGCCATACCCGGCCGTATTAACTGATATCGTACACTAAATATCACATTATATGCGAAACAAATAACGCTCTTACACAAAAGCCTGCTATCATATTATTTATTGTGAAGGTTATTTAAAACGATTTATGGGGTTAGACTCTGGATAAAATTGCTGTATGGACGCTTTGATATGAAATAGATCCGAATAAGTTCTTTTATCTGACGGCTATTATTTATTATTTTCTTATGAAACGTACCTGTGAAATAGAATCGTTGGTAATTTTTATAATACTAATATTTCAGTGTATTTCGTTTTGGTTTAGTTTCAAGTAAACCGTGGATCCTAACCTCGGCTGACTTGTGACTCACGATTTTACAACGGCTGAGAATTAATTATGTGTATCATACAATATATTTCAAGAGAAATCCGTTTTCAAATCCAACTTATAATTGGTATACAAGCATATAAATTCGTATTATGAAATCTTAATGTGTATAATATATAAATAAAAATAATATATTTATTATGATGTATATAATAATCAGAATATTCAGGTAATTATGTCTCATTGATTATCAGACTCTGGTATCGTGTCCTTTGTTTAAACTGAATAAACCCAATTTATAAATACGTCTGCTACACGATCGTCATTAATTATGTTGCTGTTTGGGTGGCTGAGAAAAACTTACTTCACTCATTTCGCTATCATCACCATCATAGCCCGTCCCTTTTGTACACGTACGAAAATGTGAAAATCATTTAAAGTTAATATACACTACTTTATGTTGAAATACAATTGATTTTCAAACCTATTGTTTAGAGTTAGAGTATGTTTTCGCTTGTTGTTATATGTGATTTACGTGTTTTGTTTTAGAGTGTGGTGTTGGTTTTCTCTTTCGAAGGCTGTTGCAGCGAGCCTCCTTGCGTTAAATGGTGTTATCTCAGCCCTCGGATGCAGCACCTCTCAGTATATTTCTTTATCTTGTCTCCGCCGGCGGTTCACATTTTGTTTTTTTCATCCATTTGCTAATTTCGAAAATGAGAAGGCACCGAGATCACATCGCCATTGATCGTAGATTTAGGTTCGAGCATTAATAAAATTAACGAATGCTCTTTAAATTAATTGAACGCGTCTCCTGGAAGGTTATCATGCATCGCTCCAAGACTCTCCAGGACTTTACATATTACACTAATAGATCATTATCTAGCCATTGTAACTTATATTTTAGTTCTCAATTAAAATTAATATATAACCAACTGCAGTGAATTTTATTACGAATAGATTCAATACGACATAATCATAATATAAATGTGCGTTTCTTTTATAGCGTTTTTTATATTCTTTAGCGCGTTTATTAAACGCTACAAACACGCCAGACTGTCATACAAGAATGAACATATAAAAAAACAAAGGGAAATGTTTACATAGAGCATTACAGGTGGTATTAGTGCGCCCGGGGCGCAGGCGGGCCGCCCACCCCGTAGAACGCCCAGCCCGACCTATATGCTAGCATAATTGCATATTCGCATGCATTTGAATTGTATACCACAGATGAATTGTGATGCTCATGCATTATGTTCTGGATTTCCGTTTGAACATTTTATTGTTAATTTTCCTCTAAGCTATCAAACCGATATTATAAATATATGGCTTCAATGTTTGTTTGTTACTCTATCAGGACGACTTAACTAAAGTGACTATGCCTAGCCATATTCCTAGTGAGTAATCCATATGTTTTCTTCAAGTATACTACTAAAACTTTTTTGGTTCCTTCTTTTAGATATTACTTATGTATTTAGCTATATAAATGTTTAAAGTAACATTTTTTGGTACAAATAAAAACATTAACCTCCTTTTTCTGCTAACGCAAGTTGATCTGTGTTATATTCTATAGGGCTATGCAATTAAAATGAAATATTAATTTTAATTATAATAATTATTTTTCAAACTAACTACCCAAAGAACAATGCTGTACAATATGACCTCCTAACTGTACAGTGTACAACTCATAAATTTTAATTTGTGTAATATATTCTCTATAATGTATGAAGTAAGAGTCAATTCTGTTGCTTCGTTGAGGGTTGTACACATGTGATTTCACCGCTCAAGTTATCTAAGCTGATACATCAATAAATGTCCACTATTGTTAGTGACGGGACCCAAATCTTTTGTAATAGAGATGGGTTTTATCGATAAATTTAAATTATTTTATTATCATTCCACACCAAAAACAGAGAAGTAAACACCATTTAACAAAATTTAAAAATAATAAAAACCATCTAAGTATATGCAATTAATGCTAATATATAACCTACTACATTTATTTACCTACCTTTTAAATTACTATGACAAACTAATATACCAATTTTGTATAATAATAATTATACTTTATTTATTATAATAAAACAAAACATTCAATTATACGTAACAAATAAAACAAAAATTAATTTCCCTTGAAAATTGATTCAATAATTTCGAATCATCACCGATCTTATATCAGCGATATCATTGTATACTTAATTTATAACTCCATCGCTTTAAAGCGACTTTCATGCTTGAAATTACATTAATTGATAAAGGCTCGTGTTATCTAAGTGGTTCATCATCTATTGTTGTGGCTAAATAGAGTTACAGCCAACCCACAATGGATGGCTTTCTTATTACCAAACCATAGGAAGTGTTAACTTAAAAAAAATCTAATTGATTGAAGCTCCAGAATATTCTTAACAACGACAAAAAAGTATTTAATTTGAAGGAAATTTGTTAAGAATTTATAGTATAGAAATCCTTTAAATAATAAGTATTAATAGTAACAAAATATTAAGGAATATAAATAAACATTTAATTGAATAATTTTTACACAAAGACCACACTGAGTTTATTTTAAGAAACTCCTCTACTATACTTTCGTTTTTATGAAGAAATCTCCAAAAAATTATAATTAACATGCTAAAAATTCTGCTTGTAATGGACCATTAGCTTAAACAAAGCCTAAATTCTGGTCGAGCTGTTGTGTTCACATAATAAAGCTGATGTCCTCACTAATCTGTCAACTAGTCGACATTCTTGCCCCATGACCTACTCACTATGACTAACGGCTATTGTTACCCCTCTCCTAGCGATGTGGATATCCATTAAAGCTGTTCTGATGAATAAATTGAAATCAATATCTCGTTACTGGGAATATAATATATTTGCTGATTAAATTCAAACTTTGTATCATAGTGGTTTATTTAGAACTAGCTTTCCGCCCGCGTGGAGTTCTATTATATTGTGTTTCCAAGAGAACCTTTCAAAAATCTGGCAAAAAAACTATCCTATGTTCTTCCTCAAGGTCAACTCTATATCTGTATCAAATTTCATTAAAACCAGTTCAGTGGTTTAGGCCTGAATGCATAACAGACAGACAGACAGACAGAGTTACTTTCCCATTTATAATACTAGTAGGGATAAGGTCTTGATGATAATAAATGTCATTAATGTATCCTACAGTAAAGTTCAAATTAATTATAATGATTAACAAAATGAAAGTATTATTGAAGTATTATCGTAACTTCGTACGAGTGAACTCCTGATCGACTCGAGGCTACGTGACTCGCGAGGCATTAAGATAACATAATACATATTTCGCCACCTATGCGCATGAGCTCCTATGGAATGGCTTCATTACCTCCCAGATCCGGCCGCATTATGCTAATATAATACGACGCCCATTATATCATCCAGCCACGCGATACGCATTTTAAGAAATGGTAACAATTTGAGAATACCCCCCCGCGGTGTTTTAAGCCGAGCACAACACTCAGATTGGCAGAGTGAGTGACGTCAGCTGTCCCTATTGGTCGATAAGATTTAACAGATAACAAGAAGCGGTATTAGAGATGTGTTCCGGATTTGGATGTACCCAAAAATCATCTCATGCTCTGAAGTCAGAGCGCTATCGCATCCGACTAGTCAAAAACGCTGACAACATTCTGTTCATCCTTTTTTTAAACTTCATATCGTATCTACGTAATAATCGCTGCTCAGTCATTGCACGCTTCAAAATAAATGCTTATCTTTGTCTTGTATGAAGTCCAGTCCAAGAAACGCTGAATGTAGTATGAATGGCTCATTTAGGGGTATATATAGAATTTCTTATAAGTGTTTTAATTGTCACCAGGTGGTCGTTTCTGTTCGTTCTCGCCGTGCATAGAACAGGTCCAACGAACATGTCTAGCTCTTCAAGAACATAGCTTCCAAGACATTAGTACCATGGAAGTCTTGCAAACAGAACTCAAAGTCAGCCGACGTACCATACCTGTTAGAGATCTATCATTCTTGAAGCATAAGGTAAGCTTAACATTTTAAAAAACAGACCATTATCTAAATAATGCTTTATGTATATTTGGCAGTCATATTAAAAACTCAATTCCTCTTAATACAACAAAGACCATTAAACAATTAAAATGTTTAAACCTCGTTAATTATGATGAGAATTCGAATTAACCGCAACTATCATTAAATGCAATATAATAATATTTATAACAAAAATAATATATTTTTGCGACAAAGGCGAAGTAGACTGTAGATTAAAGGCAATCTGGGCCGCCCATTGACCTCAGCTGACACATTAAGTTAAGTAATTTACGATCGCGTATACGAGGATCGATCAGAAACTAACAAGCTAGTAATTGACAGAATATCAGACGACTGAGTTGCGAAACGTATTAGCGCATACGTATAGGATATACTTAGAGATGAGCTAGAGGAAATATTACCTAGGAATATATACAAATAATTACTATTAAACAAAAAACATCCTTATTTGTTTGTAATTAAAGTATAATTTTTATTTTTTTTTATTAACGTCCAAAAAACTTGCGTACAAAATCCTAGCTTCATACAAACAAAGAGATTTAAACTGGTAATATCTCAAATAACTCCCCTGCCATCGAGTCCGTGGATTGAATAGAACCGTATAACTATTTCATACTGATATATTAACTTAAATAGATATAAATATATCGTCTGATCTCATTATTGACGGCTAGAGCTTTCATGGAATATTACTTATATGGATAAAGCCTTGCGGTCAGAATACGCGAAGCTGGATATAAGAATTTAAATTTACATGATACGCTAAATAAGCTATTAAACTTTAATGTTTAATCATAAATTTGTTCGATGTTACTGAACACTTATACAAATTTAAGGATCAATGCAAATTCTTTGTGTTTTTTTTTAACAAAAGAGTGGAGAATTTGCTCTAATGTAACTTATCCGTACCCTGACTTTATTAAATTAATATATGTATTGACTTAGTGATATTTCTTGGTTTTGCCATAAGATCCGGTTTCGCTGGATAACTTTGTTTAATTAGTTTAAGTAAACGCTAAAGATAGAAGTATGTTTATGATCGTATAAAAGTTAGAATAATTTTAATATATACAAAATTTCGTTAATTCATACATCTTTTCTAACATTATTAATGTTGTTAGCGTAAATTTTAATTCATATTTTATTTCGATAAACCACAGTTAACTTCAAAATATAAAATTATTAAAAATATATGAAGCGCGATCAGTATTGGCTTAGATTTAGGCCGTTATTCGATTATCTAAAAATATATAAATTTTATTTATATATTTTTATTATTCTTTCAAAATATTACTGTAGTTGTAAATATGGAATAAAAATACCAAAAATTATACGTAACATTTGTAATTTAAATAACAGTATGTAACGAGCATGTTTTGACTAAATCGGTAGTACACATAAAGTATTACATCGATATAGATAAGCGCAGGACCTAAGTCGTGGGAAAATCTGGTTAGCTTTTTAAAATCTACAGTCGAGATCGGAGCTATATTAATGCATTACTAGATTACAGTAGACATTACGGCTTGTATTCGTGAAAACACCAATTTTGGTACCCGCTGATATACTAGCACTTGAATAGAGGAATGAATTATTACATTTGTTATACAACGTGTTATGAACTGATAACGTTATCTATGTTAATGCAGTGCGAAACTATGATTTGAATATAACAATATATACTGATATTTCTGTTTTACGAAGAAATTAATAAATTCATAAAATAAAGCGCTTTAACGCTATTCAAGCTGAATGTTACTCGCAAATCATAATGATTTGAATGCGTAGTTAAGACACTGTCATCTACCGTGGATTATACCCTTGTACCATGATAGTGTATGATTGTCTATCCTTACGAGTTTCTCCGCACAGCAAGCTCTCAAAGTCTCGCAGTTTATTACTTTGGTAAAGGTATTTGCCACCGTTACATATTGCATTAGAATTATGATATCCTTGATATAACAAATCATGAATGCGTTCAGATTTTAATGTTCACCCTTATTGGGATTCTATAATAACATTCCTTTATAATGATTCAATTTAGTTCAGTGCTTAAATTAGCATACAAATCTTTAAATAAAATTCATTATTATTTTACTAATTAAAAGCTATCTAGTTCAATTTCTAAATCGATTCTTAATACATGCCTCCCACAGAACAAAGTCGTTCCACATTCTCACATCATTTACGATCTACAAAATGACTGATAGACTTACATATATGACGTCTTTATATATACATATATTTAATGAAACATTAATAGTTCAATGTTGAATTATCAGTTTATTAAATAAGTTAAAATATTTGAGTCAAAACATCTTATTATATATAAAACAATAGTTGATTTAATGTACATTTTATTATTTAATATTATAAATTCTAATGGTACATAATAATTACTTGAGAAAGCCATTACGGTTATAAATCGGTATCGATTTCGAGTCACAATCTAAACCGGTGGGCGCGTGCGGCGTAGATATCATCTTATCAGATATAGCGAGATCTCCCGTGTCGCCGGTTGTCGCCTTGTGTCTCTTGTGTCGCTATGTCCAAACACTACGCCAATACAACTGACCGCGTAATCGTAATCAATCGTTCAATACAGCCCCGATTGTGACTCTGATGAAATGCATACCGAAATTTTATCTATAGACGCACTTTGATTGATTTCTGTTACGAAATATATCGTTTATATCAAACTAATACTATTATATAGGTATATACAGGGTGACTGGTGAATTACTAGCAATATTTAAGGAGAATACTGGGTACATGATTCTCATTCGAATTATGTAAAAAAAATAGGTACTTAATTTTTGACCAAATTTCCGTATAAATAAATAAAGTGTGGACACGTTCCAAGTGTTCCAAGTGTGGACGCACCGCACGCGTGTGTGTGGGTGTGTGTGTATACCTAATCTGTAGGGTGTTCACACGATGCGTAATTAATTACATAACTTTTGGTTAACTTTACTTAGAAGTTTATTAATATTTATGTTATAATAATTTTTATTTTGTCATATATGATCGTCAAATATCACGTCCTCAAGTATCGATAATAATTCACCAGTCACCCTGTATAGTTAGTAATTATATACATTTAATATATAGTATATATGTATAGAATTTGTGTTAGTTTTAGGGCAATGTAAGAAGTTCTCAATATAGTCGTGTGATGTAATAAATCTGTCCCATCATTGACAGCCGTGGCTAAAGGATGCTCTCGTACCGTGAAATTGCTCTTTACATGTTGCAACACTTTACATACAGTACATAACATATATATCTTGTTTACATACACAAATTATAATATGAAGAGGTTTATTATATAATAGAAATGACGGCTTCAATTACAAAATAGTATTTCTATAGAAAATCTATTTCGGAAATATACGACTTTAATTTAGAGATTTCGATCATCAAATGAATTCTGATGCCCAAAAAATAGTCTTCATTTGCTTATTAAATCGCTACAATTTCATCATTTATACCTCCATAACAGAAAATAAACCACAAAATACTACAATCTTAATTAAGCTATCACCCAATACTTTTACATACATAAAACTACCCGCAATTAAATCCATCTGATTCATAATTCAATGTCGCCAATTCGCATGTACCTTTTATAAATGGTGCTAGTTCAGCTTATCCCATTGATATCATCGGTTGTATGAACACACAGACGACCTTTAAAACAGAATCCAACGAACGAGGCCGGGGCGCAACACAGGTATACCGTTACAACAGCGATCTATAAATCCGCTACTTGACAAAATAATAGGAGATTCGATAGTTGGAAGCTATTAACGCCCAAAGAGATATATTAGGCTCACTCTTTTCCATCAGATTACTTAATACGGTTTGTTCTGGATGTTTCTAAGCTTCTAAGCTAAGCTGCCTGATATCTAGATAATTACGATTGTGAATGTAACTCAACTTAGAGATAATGTGTTGTATACTTAAGATTATTCTATTTAATTGCTAGTACTTTTTACTGTTTATGTGTAAATTCTTTGATTTAGTTTTTGTGCTTATGTTAACAGTGTTTTTGATTATCACTAAAGTTAATTTACTTTTATAGAATGTATACATATATATTATGATATAACATTATTTGAACGCTTCTTCCGACTTGAATTTTGTCAGCGATGTTTTCCGTTTTAGTGATTTTCTAACAAAAATTAAAATTATAAACTCAAACAAATAAATAGTGCAAATATGGGAATGGATTTTTTATTTAAGTAAGTAACTCTGAAACCAAATACAAGGCTATCTTTCGACCATAAAATTTCTAAAATGAAAAATTCCGAAAGTATTATTTAATGTCATTAATAAGAACAGATAATTTAAATTTTATAAGAATAAAATAAAATTCTGATACTTTTCTGTACTATGTATGGAATTAAACATTATTTAGTAGATCACTTGAAAAATTTATTACCAATGACAGTGCATTACATGTAGCAATATAAATGTTATTACCATTACCCCAGTAATATATCTTATATTCGTGCATATGCATACGTTCATGCATTTGTATTTTGTAATACAAAATATGTTTTACTGTCCTACGTACTACAAGTCTTGCTTCTTCAGAATATTCCGTTTATATACAATATAACTACAATGTACAACTACTTATTTCAAGTACTTCTTTGCAAAATATCAAATGTAAGCACAATTTATACATACATATGAATAAAAAGTTAATTCTTTGTTCTGACAAGATAATATTTCTACAATAAGTACGCTAAGAGTATTTAGACACCACTGACAGACGGTGAAGGAAAATCGTGAGGAAACCTGGACTTATAATGTCAAAAAATTATAAGTTTGAAATCACAAACCCGTCTTGAGCAAGCGTGGTGATTAATGCTCAAACCTTCTCCATGAGAGATGACGCCTTTGCTCAACAGTGGGCTCTGATAGGCTGAAAAAAATTACGCTTATATGTATTTCCTCCCAAAAAA